TACCATAGACCCATCTTACATCTCAACCATTGAATGCCATAGACCAGCCTTACATCTCAACTGTTGAGTGCCATAGATTCATCTTACATCTCAGTAATTACATAATTGTCTCGGAGCATTTTTGTTGTAGTTTTAATTCCTCTGATCAATATAATAGTAATAAGACAATACCAGAAATCTGACAGCAAAGACAGGTCAAGTCTGGTGCAGGCAAAGACAGGTCAAGTCTGGTGCAGGCAAAGACAGGTCAAGTCTGGTGCAGGCAAAGACAGGTCAAGTCTGGTGCAGGCAAAGACAGGTCAAGTCTGGTGCAGGCAAAGACAGGTCAAGTCTGGTGCAGTTGTATTTACTAAATGAAAGTTTTACAAAAACTAATAGACTTTAATGAGATAACCCACACACACACCCACACACACACAAAGCACTTGATTGGAGACTATGAACTCATTACTGACTTTATTTCATTAGCTACTGCATATAGTTGACTTTAAAACTATGGTTACTGTTTGTAGTTGACTTAAAACTGGGGTTACTGTTTGTTTTTGACTGAAAGCTAGAGTTACTATTTTTTAGTTGAAGACTTCAGTTACTGTTTGTAGTTGATTGAAGACTTTAGTTACTGTTTGTAGTTGATTGAAGACTTCAGTTACTGTTTGTAGTTGATTGAAGACTTTAGTGACTGTTTGTAGTTGATTGAAGACTTCAGTTACTGTTTGTAGTTGATTGAAGACTTTAGTTACTGTTTGTAGTTGATTGAAGACTTCAGTGACTGTTTGTAGTTGATTGAAGACTTCAGTTACTGTTTATAGTTGATTGAAGACTTCAGTTACTGTTTATAGTTGATTGAAGACTTCAGTGACTGTTTGTAGTTGATTGAAGACTTCAGTTATTGTTTGTAGTTGATTGAAGACTTCAGTTACTGTTTGTAGTTGATTGAAGACTTCAGTTACTGTTTGTAGTTGATTGAAGACTTCAGTTACTGTTTATAGTTGATTGAAGACTTCAGTTACTTTTTATAGTTGACTTATTTACTTGTTGAGGAAACTGTTTGTGCTAGAATCTGATAACACAGTAGCCTCTAACTTGTCTGGGTGGGTACGGCCGTGCATACACCAGATTTTCTTTGTAAATATATATATCATCATCATCATCATAATGTAGCAGGTCCTTGGCAGAGCGTTACTCTTATCATGGTGTGCCTAAAAGAAGCTCAGTCTCCCAGCCTTGCATGTTTTCCTGCACATTGTGTCACTGATGTCCTGTCATCATCTTTTTGCTGGTCGGCCCCTGCTCCTCTTCCCCAGTGACTGACCATTCTGTTGTTATTTGTTCCTATCCACCAAGCGTTTGATGAGGCCAAGATATTTCAGTTTCCGGGACACGATGCTGTTTGTTAGCCAATCTTCATCAATGTTCAGATCCCTTTAGGATGTCAGTATTTCTTTTCTTCTGTGTCCATAGTATAGAGGTAATCTTTCTATAGCATTTCAGTTCACAAAACTCTTTTTGCCGTATATTGCTACAAGGAAGATAGTCCATGACCCCTGCTGTATGTTGCTACAGAAATGAGTCCATGAACCCCAGTCGTATGTTGCTACTGGGAAGACGTTCTCAAAATTGTGACTTTGATTTCCATGCTGGTGCTTCAACATGGCCTTTGAATGCTGTTTACTCTATGTATTGCTATGGCCACCTTGCTTGTCTTCACCAGTCTCCATGTTTATTATGAAGCCTAGATATTCAAAGGGTTTGACATTTGTTGGTTCTTCATCATTTGTAGAATTTAGTTTAGTAACTTGTCAGTATGATTGTATAGGTTGAGTCTTTGATGGTGGTCTAGTAGTTAGTAAAATAACTTGTCAGCATGATGGTGTAGGGTTGAATCCTTGATGGTAGAGCAGTACACTATAGCTAATAAAATAACTTGCCAACTCTGTGTGATAGCCATCTTCTGTTGTCGGGTATATAACAATTAGCTGGCACCAATGTATTTTCCTGTTTATGAGTGTTTTGATTTTGTTTCATGTTTTTATAACCAAGTTGATGCATTTTTTCTATGGCTGGTGATTGGTTGTTTCTTTGATTTTATCAGTCGGGTTTGATTAGTTTCTGTTAGCATTACTTTGTTGTTCTTCGAGGAGAATGTGTACAAATGTGAGCGGTCTGAGTTTGGTCTTATGTATGTCAGCTGTGAGATGTGTGGATTACCTGGACATGTCAGCTGTGAGATGTGTGGATTACCTGGACATGTCTTGTGTGTGTCAGCTGTGAGGTGTATTGATTACCTGGCCATGTCTTATGTATGTCAGCTGTGAGATGTGCGGATTACCTGGACATGTCTTTTGTATGTCAGCTGTGAGATGTATTGATTACCTGGACATGTCTTGTGTGTGTCAGCTGTGAGGTGTGTGGATTAACTGGCCATGTCTTGTGTGTGTCAGCTGTGAGATGTGTGGATTATCTGGACATGTCTTGTGTGTGTCAGCTGTGAGATGTGTGGATTACCTGGACATGTCTTTTGTATGTCAGCTGTGAGATGTGTGGATTATCTGGACATGTCTTGTGTATGTCAGCTGTGAGATGTGTGGATTACCTGAACATGTCAGCTGTGAGATGTGTGGATTACCTGGACATGTCTTGTGTATGTCAGCTGTGAGATGTGTGGATTACCTGGACATGTCTTGTATATGTCAGCTGTGAGATGTGTGGATTACCTGGACATGTCAGCTGTGAGATGTGTGGATTACCTGGACATGTCTTGTATATGTCAGCTGTGAGATGTGTGGATTACCTGGACATGTCTTGTGTATGTCAGCTGTGAGATGTGTGGATTACCTGGACATTTGCCACAGTGTTTGGTTTGCTTGTTATCTACCTTGCAATCTGGAAGAGAGAGAGAGGGGGTGGGGGGCATCTCTTTGATCTGATGTGTAAAGGGGACAGTCTGTTTGGTCTTTTAAACACAAGGCCTGGTGAGGCACTTAGGACATGGTTAGAATATTGTCAATGACACTCATATCTGAAATATTCAGGGCATTCCCAGGTAGAGATAGATGGATGGATGCATATGTTGTACTTACAGGTGTAAGTGGATGGATGTATGTTATACTTACAGGAGTAGGTGGGTGGATGTATATGTTGTACTTACAGGTGTAGGTGGATGGATGTATATGTTGTACTTCTAGGTAGAGATGGGTGGATGTATATGTTGTAGTTACTGGTAGAGATGCGTGGATGTATATGTTGTACTTAAGGGGTAGGTGGATGGATGTGTATGTTATACTTCTAGGTAGAGATGGGTGGATGTATATGTTGTACTTAAGGGGTAGGTGGATGGATGTGTATGTTATACTTCTAGGTAGAGATGGGTGGATGTATATGTTGTAGTTATGGGTAGAGATGGGTGGATGTATATGTTGTAGTTACTGGTAGAAATGGGTGGATGGATGTATATGTTGTACTTACAGGTAGAGATGGGTGGATAGATGTATATGTTGTACTTACAGGTAGAGATGGGTGGATAGATGTATATTTTGTACTTACAGGTAGAGATGGATTGATGTATATGTTGTACTTACAGGTAGAGATGGATTGATGTATATGTTGTACTTACCAGTAGAGATGGATTGATGTATATGTTGTACTTACCAGTAGAGATGGGTGGATAAAAGGATATGTTGGACTTAGTGGTAGAGATGGATTGATGTATATGTTGCACTTACAGGTAGAGATGAGTGGATAGATGTATATGTTGTACTTGCAGGTAGAGATGGATTGATGTATATGTTGCACTTACAGGTAGAGATGGGTGGATAGATGTATATTTTGTACTTACAGGTAGAGATGGATTGATGTATATGTTGTACTTACAGGTAGAGATGGATTGATGTATATGTTGTACTTACCAGTAGAGATGGGTGGATAAAAGGATATGTTGTACTTAGAGGTAGAGATGGATTGATGTATATGTTGCACTTACAGGTAAAAATGCTTGGATGGGTATGTTGTACTTACAGATAGAGATGAGTGGATAGATGTATATGTTGTACTTACAGGTAGAGATGGATGGATATGTTGTACTTACAGGTAGAGATAAGTGGATAGATATATATGTTGTACTTGCAGGTAGAGATGGATTGATGTATATGTTGCACTTACAGGTAGAGATGGGTGGATAGATGTATATTTTGTACTTACAGGTAGAGATGGATTGATGTATATGTTGTACTTACAGGTAGAGATGGATTGATGTATATTTTGTGCTTACAGGTAGAGATGGGTGGATGGATATGTTGTACTTACAGGTAGAGATGGATTGATGTATATGTTGTGCTTACAGGTAGAGATGGGTGGATGGATATGTTGTACTTACAGGTAGAGATGGATTGATGTATATGTTGTGCTTACAGGTAGAGATGGATTGATGTATATGTTGTACTTACAGGTAGAGATGGATTGATGTATATGTTGTACTTACCAGTAGAGATGGGTGGATAAAAGGATATGTTGTACTTAGAGGTAGAGATGGATTGATGTATATGTTGCACTTACAGGTAAAAATGCTTGGATGGGTATGTTGTACTTACAGATAGAGATGGATTGATGTATATGTTGTACTTACAGGTAGAGATGGATTGATGTATATGTTGTGCTTACAGTTAAAGATGGGTGGATGGATATGTTGTACTTACAGGTAGAGATGAGTGGATAGATATATATGTTGTACTTACAGGTAGAGATGGATTGATGTATATGTTGTACTGACAGGTAGAAATTAATGTTAGCAGCATTTAAGTTTGTTGTTGATCAGAATGATAAGCTTGTTTAATGCAGCATTTAAGTTTGTTGTTGATCAGAATGATAACCTTGTTTAATGCAGCATTTAAGTTTGTTGTTGATCAGAATGATAACCTTGTTTAATGCAGCATTTAAGTTTGTTGTTGATCAGAATGATAAGCTTGTTTAATGCAGCATTTCATGCTGGATATTTGTTGCCACAGCTTTCATGGCAGAGACAGATGGGAGCTGAACCGCCCTGACCATGTAAGGAGTGAGCCTCCTCGTAGGGACGATGATTACGACAGGTAACTGTTCCTGTTGATCCCAACAGATTTTGCAGATGACAAATCAGTGGTCTCACCTGTGTTTGATTATTTTAGGCAGGGATCCAACCTGATGGCTGGGTGGGGTACAGGTAAACTCTGTGTCCTGATTGTGACAGCACTTTTCCCGTCTGCTCCACCCCGTCACCTCAGACAAACTAGAAAAAAGCTGAACAAGTTCTTTAGTATTACCCTGTACTAAAAGATCCGGAACATACTTCTTTACTTCCTCTTGTTACTGTTTCAGGTGTAGAGGGAGATGAAAGGTCTGTTACTGTTTCAGGTGTAGAGGGAGATGAAAGGTTTGTTACTGTTTCAGGTGTAGAGGGAGATGAAAAGTTTGTTACTGTTTCAGGTGTAGAGGGAGATGAAAGGTTTGTTACTGTCTCAGGTGTAGAGGGAGATGAAAGGTTTGTTACTGTTTTAGGCGTAGAGGGAGATGAAAGGTTTGTTACTGTTTCAGGTGTCGAGGGAGATGGGAAAGTTTGTTGCTGTTTTAGGTGTCGAGGGAGATGAAAGGTTTGTTACTGTTTCAGGTGTCGAGGGAGATGGGAAAGTTTGTTACTGTTTCAGGTGTAGAGGGAGATGAAAGGTTCTGCTTGTGGCCACCTCAACCATAGACATGGAAACATTGCCATGGTCCTGCATTTGATCAGTTCCTTTATATCTCAGTATATTCTCTGTAGCAATCATCAATCCATTGCCAGCTTGCTAGACCAGGCTGACCCAAGCTGGCCTCCATGGCTACTGTAGCCACACTAGACTTGACCCAGTAGCAGTCCTTAACTTTTGTCTTGTTTCCCACGTGTGAGAGAAACATACTGGCCCCCTTGACTTTTGTCTTGTTACCCACATGTGAGAGAAACATACTGGCCCCCTTGACTTTTGTCTTGTTTCCCACGTGTGAGAGAAACATACTAGCCCCCTTAACTTTTGTCTTGTTTCCCACGTGTAAGAGAAACATACTGGCCTCCTTGACTTTTGTCTTGTTTCCCACGTGTGAGAGAAACATACTGACCCCCGTGACTTTTGTCTTGTTTCCCACATGTGAGAGAAACATACTAGCCTCCTGAACTTTTGTCTTGTTTCCCACGTGTGAGAGAAACATACTGGCCTCCTTGACTTTTGTCTTGTTTCCCACGTGTGAGAGAAACATACTGGCCTCCTTGACTTTTGTCTTGTTTCCCACGTGTGAGTGAAACATACTGGCCTCCTTAACTTTTGTCTTGTTTCCCACATGTGAGAGAAACATACTGGCCTTCTTGACTTTGTCTTGTTTCCCACATGGGAGAGAAACATACTGGCCCCCGTGACTTTTGTCTTGTTTTCCACGTGTGAGAGAAACATACTGGCCTCGTGACTTTTGTCTTGTTTCCCACATATGAGAGAAACACACTGGCCCCCTTGACTTTTGTCTTGTTTCCCACGTGTGAGAGAAACATAGTGGCCCCCTTAACTTTTGTCTTGTTTCCCACATGTGAGAGAAACATACTGGCCCCCTTGACTTTTGTCTTGTTTCCCACATGTGAGAGAAACATACTGGCCCCCTTGACTTTTGTCTTGTTTCCCACATGTGAGAGAAACATAGTGGCCCCCGTAACTTTTGTCTTGTTTTCCACATGTGAGAGAAACATAGTGGCCCCCTTAACTTTTGTCTTGTTTCCCACATGTGAGAGAAACATAGTGGCCCCCTTAACTTTTGTCTTGTTTCCCACATGTGAGAGAAACATAGTGGCCCCCTTAACTTTTGTCTTGTTTCCCACATGTGAGAGAAACATAGTGGCCCCCTTAACTTTTGTCTTGTTTCCCACATGTGAGAGAAACATACTGGCCCCCTTGACTTTTGTCTTGTTTCCCACGTGTGAGAGAAACATACTGGCCTCCTTAACTTTTGTCTTGTTTCCCACATGTGAGAGAAACATACTGGCCTCCTGAATCAACAGAAAACTGGGACAACAGTTGATTGAGAGAACTGGTCTGATGATGTCATCAGTGGAGGCAGAGATCACAAGAGGGGAGAAGTTCTCCTGTTATGTGTTTGTTATGATTGTTCTAATGGTCACAAGAGGGGAGAAGTTCTCCTGTTATGTGTTTGTTATGATTGTTCTAATGGTCACAAGAGGAGAGAAGTTCTCCTGTTGTGTGTTTGTTATGACTGTTCTTATTTTACATCTGAAATCATTTTGCAACATTTTTCTTTCACAGCAGAATGTTTCGAGAAAGAGATCGCGACAGAGAACGTGACTGGGACCGAGAGAAAGATCGTGAATGGGAGAGGGGCACGGAGAGAAGTCGAGACAGAGACAGGGAGCCAGAAAGGAACCGGGACAGGGACCGCAGCAGAGAGCCAGAAAGGAACCGGGACAGGGATCGCAGCAGAGAGCGGGACAGAAGCCGGGACCGCAGCAGGGATAGAAACAGAAGTAAAGATAAGGACCGGGATCGTGAACGCAATCGAGACAGGGACAGAGAGAGGTCCAAGTCCAAGGAGAGGGATACCTCACGCAACAGAGACCAGGAGAGAGGCAGGGATACAACACGAGGCAGGGACAGAGATGATAAACACAAGTCCTCACGCAGGTAATGTTTGTCTCCCCACGTGTGCATGCCTCAAACGTTATTACCTCACTATCTCACAGACACATCATTTGCACGACGCACAAACCAGCCTCATCTCCTCAGACATCTCCTTCTCCGTGACTGCAATGAATGGCTTGCTTTTGGTGGGCTCTCCTTCTCTGTGACTGCAATGAATGGCTTGCTTTTGGTGGGCTCTCCTTCTCTGTGACTGCAATGAATGGCTTGCTTTTGGTGGGGCTCTCCTTTCTTGTGACTGCAATGAATGGCTTTGCTTTTTGGTGGGCTCTCCTTCTCCGTGACTGCAATGATGGCTTGCTTTTGGTGGGCTCTCCTTCTCCGTGACTGCAATGAATGGCTTGCTTTTGGTGGGCTCTCCTTCTCCGTGACTGCAATGAATGGCTTGCTTTTGGTGGGCTCTCCTTCTCTGTGACTGCAATGAATGGCTTGCTTTTGGTGGGCTCTCCTTCTCTGTGACTGCAATGAATGGCTTGCTTTTGGTGGGCTCTCCTTTCTTGTGACTGCAATGAATGGCTTGCTTTTGGTGGGCTCTCCTTCTCCGTGACTGCAATGAATGGCTTGCTTTTGGTGGGCTCTCCTTCTCCGTGACTGCAATGAATGGCTTTGCTTTTGGTGGGCTCTCCTTCTCCGTGACTGCAATAAATGGCTTGCTTTTGGTGGGCTCTCCTTCTCTGTGACTGCAATGAATGGCTTTGCTTTTGGTGGGCTCTCCTTCTCTGTGACTGCAATGAATGGCTTGCTTTTGGTGGGCTCTCCTTCTCTGTGACTGCAATGAATGGCTTGCTTTTGGTGGGCTCTCCTTTCTTGTGACTGCAATGAATGGCTTGCTTTTGGTGGGCTCTCCTTCTCCGTGACTGCAATGAATGGCTTGCTTTTGGTGGGCTCTCCTTCTCCGTGACTGCAATGAATGGCTTGCTTTTGGTGGGCTCTCCTTCTCCGTGACTGCAATAAATGGCTTGCTTTTGGTGGGCTCTCCTTCTCTGTGACTGCAATGAATGGCTTGCTTTTGGTGGGCTCTCCTTCTCTGTGACTGCAATGAATGGCTTGCTTTTGGTGGGCTCTCCTTCTCTGTGACTGCAATGAATGGCTTGCTTTTGGTGGGCTCTCCTTCTCCGTGACTGCAATAAATGGCTTGCTTTTGGTGGGCTCTCCTTCTCTGTGACTGCAATGAATGGCTTGCTTTTGGTGGGCTCTCCTTCTCTGTGACTGCAATGAATGGCTTGCTTTTGGTGGGCTCTCCTTTCTTGTGACTGCAATAAATGGCTTGCTTTTGGTGGGCTCTCCTTCTCTGTGACTGCAATGAATGGCTTGCTTTTGGTGGGCTCTCCTTTCTGTGGACTGCAATGAATGGCTTGCTTTTGGTGGGCTCTCCTTCTCTGTGACTGCAATGAATGGCTTGCTTTTGGTGGGCTCTCCTTTCTTGTGACTGCAATGAATGGCTTGCTTTTGGTGGGCTCTCCTTCTCTGTGACTGCAATGAATGGCTTGCTTTTGGTGGGCTCTCCTTTCTTGTGACTGCAATGAATGGCTTGCTTTTGGTGGGCTCTCCTTCTCCGTGACTGCAATGAATGGCTTGCTTTTGGTGGGCTCTCCTTCTCCGTGACTGCAATGAATGGCTTGCTTTTGGTGGGCTCTCCTTCTCCGTGACTGCAATGAATGGCTTGCTTTTGGTGGGCTCTCCTTCTCTGTGACTGCAATGAATGGCTTGCTTTTGGTGGGCTCTCCTTCTCTGTGACTGCAATGAATGGCTTGCTTTTGGTGGGCTCTCCTTCTCCGTGACTGCAATGAATGGCTTGCTTTTGGTGGGCTCTCCTTTCTTGTGACTGCAATGAATGGCTTGCTTTTGGTGGGCTCTCCTTCTCTGTGACTGCAATAAATGGCTTGCTTTTGGTGGGCTCTCCTTTCTTGTGACTGCAATGAATGGCTTGCTTTTGGTGGGCTCTCCTTCTCCGTGACTGCAATGAATGGCTTGCTTTTGGTGGGCTCTCCTTCTCCGTGACTGCAATGAATGGCTTGCTTTGGTGGGCTCTCCTTCTCTGTGACTGCAATGAATGGCTTGCTTTTGGTGGGCTCTCCTTCTCTGTGACTGCAATGAATGCTTGCTTTTGGTGGGCTCTCCTTCTTTGTGACTGCAATGAATGGCTTGCTTTTGGTGGGCTCTCCTTCTCTGTGACTGCAATGAATGGCTTGCTTTTGGTGGGCTCTCCTTCTCCGTGACTGCAATGAATGGCTTGCTTTTGGTGGGCTCTCCTTCTCCGTGACTGCAATGAATGGCTTGCTTTTGGTGGGCTCTCCTTCTCCGTGACTGCAATGAAATGGCTTGCTTTTGGTGGGCTCTCCTTCTCTGTGACTGCAATGAATGGCTTGCTTTTGGTGGGCTCTCCTTCTCTGTGACTGCAATGAATGGCTTGCTTTTGGTGGGCTCTCCTTCTCTGTGACTGCAATGAATGGCTTGCTTTTGGTGGGCTCTCCTTCTCTGTGACTGCAATGAATGGCTTGCTTTTGGTGGGCTCTCCTTCTCCGTGACTGCAATGAATGGCTTGCTTTTGGTGGGCTCTCCTTCTCCGTGACTGCAATGAATGGCTTGCTTTTGGTGGGCTCTCCTTCTCTGTGACTGCAATGAATGGCTTGCTTTTGGTGGGCTCTCCTTCTCTGTGACTGCAATGAATGGCTTGCTTTTGGTGGGCTCTCCTTCTCTGTGACTGCAATGAATGGCTTGCTTTTGGTGGGCTCTCCTTCTCTGTGACTGCAATGAATGGCTTGCTTTTGGTGGGCTCTCCTTCTCCGTGACTGCAATGAATGGCTTGCTTTTGGTGGGCTCTACTTCTCCGTGACTGCAATGAATGGCTTGCTTTTGGTGGGCTCTCCTTTCTTGTGACTTTTTGCTGTCAAAAGTTTTTATGTGATGTGACGTCAGCATGTACGAACTGATCTGCAGTTGTCATCTCATTAACAGTGACACCTTCATGTTTAAACTTAACAACCGTCAGTATTTCATTAGTGGCAGGACACATAGTCACCATCTCATTAACAGTGACATCTTCATGTTTAAACTTAACAACAAATCATCATCTCATTAACAGTGATACCTTTATGTTTAAATTCAACAACAAATCATTGTCTCATTAACAGTGACACCTTCATCTTTAATCTTAACAACAAAATCATTGTCTCATTAACAGTGACCACCTTTATGTTTAAACTTAACAACAAATCATCATCTCATTAACAGTGAACAACAAATCATCATCTCATTAACAGTGACACCTTCATGTTTAAACTTAACAACAAATCATCATCTCATTAACAGTGACACCTTCATGTTTAAACTTAACAACAAATCATCATCTCATTAACAGTGAACAACAAATCATCATCTCATTAACAGTGACACCTTCATGTTTAAACTTAACAACAAATCATCATCTCATTAACAGTGACATCTAACCTTAGATGTGGTTCATGATCACTCTGTGTCTTCCCCCCCCCCCCCCCATCAACACCCTTGAGCCACCTCATGGGGATAAAAGATCTGGCTATCATCATAGTCATGTAACTATTGTGTTGTTTTACTCAGTTATAGACAGTCTTGATAATTTTACAGTCTTGATAATTTTACACAGTCATAGACAGTCTTGATAATTTTACACAGTCATAGACAGTCTTGATAATTTTACACAGTCATAGACAGTCTTGATAATTGTACTCAGAAAGTATGTGTTTGTACAGACTGTTCCCCCCCCCCCCCCCAACAGCAGACAACTGTGTACGTAGACTTCCAAAACAGCAGACAGCTGTTTGTAGACACGCCCTCAACAGCAGACATCTGTGTTTGTAGACACGCCCTCAACAGCAGACAGCTGTGTTTGTAGACACACCCCCAACAGCAGACTGTTGTTGTTTATGTAACCCACAAGTCATCTATGGGTGTTCCATGCTCAAAAAAAAAAATCTCATTCCAGGAAACATCGGGACAGAGATCACGATGAGTCTGACACAGAATCAACCAGAAGTTCCAGCAAGCATAAGAAGAGCAAACGAAGGAAGGAAAGCAAGGATGAGGAGACACCGGCACCAGCCACTACAGATGAGAAAGCCCGGGACTAAGTTTGCTTGGGAGAATAATGTGGGCATGAAAGTCTCTGTTGTAGATAATTGGTGGGTGCTGTCCCACCTATTCATGCTTGTTGCGTCTCACCTGTACATGTTTGTTGATAATTGAAAAGTGTCAGAGATATGTTTTTTTTTTTTTTTTTAAATTAAATGTCACATGGAAATTGATATTGAATAAAGTTGCCATTAATAACCAAACATTTAGTGTGTGACATTTCTCTAGCACAGCAAATGGCATTTAAAAAAATCCATGAGCCCTGGTAGTTTCTGGACAAAAATCCACTTTTTCTTTTTTTAAACGGAACACAAATTCATTTAACTTATTTACTGTGAAATTCTTTCTTTGATCATGTCATATCTGTCACAGGCTAGGCTTACTGGGGACAATTTGTCACCTTGGTTTTTAAGCCATTATGTCATAACATCCCCCCCCCCCCCCCATGTTTTTTTTTTTCAATAGCTAGTGTATATCCTGGTATGTAAACACATGGAATTTGTGCTTTTGGAGAATTGGTCACTGCAGATGTGGCAATATGTCAGCATTTATGGGACTGTGTCACAATCAGAAGTCTTCTTCAGGCGACAGTATCTGGTTCCCAACTGATCACCTCCTTCCTATACTGAGGGGACATACATCCCTGAACACAGCTACATTCAAGAGTTACAGAAACTCAGGAGTCTCATGTGTCCAGAGATTTCCTCCCCCGTGGGTGCCACCACCTGTAAAAGGCAACTAACTGGGGGGGTTGAGGGAGACTACCGTAATAGCAGATAGCTATGTTTTTAGAGACCCTCCCCCAACAGATGGCCATGTTTGTAGAGACCCTCTTTCAACAGATGGCTATGTTTGTAGAGACCCTCTTTCAACAGATGTCTATGTTTGTAGAGACCCTCCCCCAACAGATGGCTATGTTTGTAGAGATCCTCTTTCAACAGATGGCTATGTTTGTAGAGACCCTCCCCCTAACAGATGGCCATGTTTGTAGAGACCCTCCTTCAACAGATGGCTATGTTTGTAGAGACCCTCCCCCATCAGATGTCTATGTTTGTAGACACCCTTCCACAACAGATGTCTATGTTTTTAGACACCCTCCCCCAACAGATGTCTATGTTTGTAGACACCCTCCCCCAACAGATGTTTATGTAGACACCCTTCCACAACAGATGTCTATGTTTGTAGACACCCTCCCATAACAGATGGCTATGTTTGTAGACACCCTCCCCTAACAGATGGTTATGTTTGTAGACACGCTTTCACCACAGATGTCTACGTTTGTAGACACCCTCCCACAACAGATGGCTATGTTTCTAAGACATCCTCCCACAACAGATGGCTATGTTTGTAGGCAACCTCCCACAACAGATGGCTATGTTTGTAGACACCCTTCCACAACAGATGTCTATGTTTGTAGACACCCTCCCCGAACAGATGGTTATGTTTGTAGACACCCTTTCACAACAGATGTCTATGTTTGTAGACACCCTCCCACAACAGATGGCTATGTTTCTAAGACATCCTCCCACAACAGATGGCTATGTTTTCAGGCACCCTCCCACAACAGATGGCTATGTTTGTAGACACCCTCCCCCAACAGATGTCTATGTTTGTAAGACATCCTCCCACAACAGATGTCTATGTTTGTAAGACATCCTCCCACAACAGATGTCTATGTTTGTAGACACCCTCCCACAACAGATGGCTATGTTTGTAGGCACCCTCCCACAACAGATGGCTATGTTTGTAGACACCCTTCCACAACAGATGGCTATGTTTGTAGACACCCTCCCACAACAGATGGCTATGTTTGTAGACACCCTTCCACAACAGATGGCTATGTTTCTAAGACTTCCTCCCACAACAGATGGCTATGTTTGTAGGCACCCTCCCACAACAGATGGCTATGTTTGTAGGCACCCTCCCACAACAGATGGCTATGTTTGTATACACCCTCCACCAACAGATAGCTATGTTTGTAGACATCCTCCCACAACAGATGGCTATGTTTGTAGACACCCTTCCACAACAGATGTATATGTTTGTAGAGACCCCCCCCCCCCAACAGATGTATATGTTTGTAGAGACCCCCCCCAACAGATGTCTATGTTTGTAGAACCCCCCCCCCCCCCACCACCACAGATGGCAATGTTTGTAGAGACCCCCAACAGATGGCTATGTTTGTAGAGACTCCCCCAAACAGATGGATATGATTGTAGAGAGACCCCCCCCCCCCCCAACAGATGGCTATGTTTGTAGACACCCTCCCACAACAGATGGCTATGTTTTTAGGCACCCTCCCACAACAGATGGCTATGTTTTTAGGCACCCTCCCACAACAGATGGCTATGTTTTTAGGCACCCTCCCACAACAGATGGCTATGTTTGTAAGACATCCTCCCCCAACAGATGTCTATGTTTGTAAGACATCCTCCCACAACAGATGGCTATGTTTGTAGGCACCCTCCCACAACAGATGGCTATGTTTGTAGACACCCTCCCACAACAGATGGCTATGTTTGTAGACACCCTTCCACAACAGATGGCTATGTTTGTAGACACCCTCCCACAACAGATGGCTATGTTTGTAGACACCCTTCCACAACAGATGTCTATGTTTGTAGACACCCTCCCACAACAGATGGCTATGTTTCTAAGACTTCCTCCCACAACAGATGGCTATGTTTGTAGGCACCCTCCCACAACAGATGGCTATGTTTGTAGACACCCTCCACCAACAGATAGCTATGTTTGTAGACATCCTCCCACAACAGATGGCTATGTTTGTAGACACCCTTCCACAACAGATGTATATGTTTGTAGAAACCCCCCCCCCCCCCCCAACAGATGTCTATGTTTGTAGACCCCCCCCCCCCCACCACAGATGGCAATGTTTGTAGAGACCCCCAACAGATGGCTATGTTTGTAGAGACTCCCCCCAAACAGATGGATATGATTGTAGAGACCCCCCCCCCCCAACAGATGGCTATGTTTGTAGACACCCTTCCACAACAGATGGCTATGTTTCTAATACATCCTCCCACAACAGATGGCTATGTTTTTAGGCACCCTCCCACAACAGATGGCTATGTTTGTAGACACCCTCCACAACAGATGGCTATGTTTGTAGACACCCTCCCCCAACAGATGTCTATGTTTGTAAGACATCCTCCCACAACAGATGTCTATGTTTGTAAGACATCCTCCTACAACAGATGTCTATGTTTGTAGACACCCTTTCACAACAGATGGCTATGTTTTTAGGCACCCTCCCACAACAGATGGCTATGTTTTTAGGCACCCTCCCACAACAGATGGCTATGTTTTTAGGCACCCTCCCACAACAGATGGCTATGTTTGTAGACACCCTCCCACAACAGATGGCTATGTTTGTAGACACCCTCCCCCAACAGATGTCTATGTTTGTAAGACATCCTCCCACAACAGATGTCTATGTTTGTAAGACATCCTCCCACAACAGATGTCTATGTTTGTAGACACCCTCCCACAACAGATGGCTATGTTTGTAGGCACCCTCCCACAACAGATGGCTATGTTTGTAGACACCCTTCCACAACAGATGGCTATGTTCCACAACAGATGTCTATGTTTGTAGACACCCTCCCACAACAGATGGCTATGTTTCTAAGACATCCTCCCACAACAGATGGCTATGTTTGTAGGCACCCTCCCACAACAGATGGCTATGTTTGTAGACACCCTCCACCAACAGATAGCTATGTTTGTAGACACCCTCCCACAACAGATGGCTATGTTTGTAGACACCCCCCCCCCCAACAGATGGCTATGTTTGTAGAGACCCCCCCCCCCCAACAGATGGCTATGTTTGTAGAGACCCCCCCCCCCCCAACAGATCTCTATGTTTGTAGAGACCCCCCCCCCTCCCCAACAGATGGCTATGTTTGTAGAGACCCCTCCCCAACAGATGGCTATGTTTGTAGAGACCCCTCCCCAACAGATGGCTATGTTTGTAGAGACCCCTCCCCAACAGATGGTTATGTTTGTAGAGACCCCTCCCCAACAGATGGCTATGTTTGTAGAGACCCCTCTCCAACAGATGGCTATGTTTGTAGAGACCCCCCCCCCCTCCCCACCCCCCAACAACAGACAGCTGTGTTTGTGCAACTGCCCAGGACAGAAGACACGCACACACTGACCAACTGATGGACCAACAGTTTGCAAACATTATATAAACTAGATCTGTAAGCAATACTCAGTTCTGGAACAAGACCAGAAGTGGAAGAACAAGAACTTTCAGCCAAAAACAAAGACGAATCACCCTACTTTGATTCACTTCACTGATCCTCTAAGAAAAGAGCAAAAACTGACCTTACAGTGAATCATCGCACTGATCCTTTGGAAAACTGACCTTACAGTGAATCATCGCACTGATCCTTTGGAAAACTGACCTTACAGTGAATCATCGCACTAATCCTTTGGAAAACTGACCTTACAGTGAATAATCGCACTAATCCTTTGGAAAACTGACCTTACAGTGAATCATCGCACTGATCCTTTGGAAAACTGACTACACTGAACTGTTTTTCTGGTCCTTGGAAAACATTTAATGTTGAACTGTTTCACCGATCATTGAAAAACATCCTAAGTTGAACTGTTTCAATTATCCGTGGGAAAACTGACCCTATGTTGTTCCTCAGAAAACATCCCATGTTGCTGACCCTATGCTGAACTGTTTCACTGATCCTTGGAAAACATCCAATGTTGAACTGTTTCACTAATCCTTGGAAAATATCCAATGTGGAAATGTTTCACTGATCATTGAAAAACATCCTATGTTGAACTGTGTCTCTGATCCTTGGGGAAAACATCCAATGTTGAACTGTTTCACTGATCCTTGGAAAACATCCTATGTTGAACTGTTTCACTGATCACTGACCCTAAGGTGAATCATCATCTCCCCAGATATCTCTGAACCTCTTCCTGGCTACACGGAATCGCCGCTTCTCTGTCCCCACAT